TATTTGAATTCAAGTTTTCTTCCAGCTTTACATTGATAACTCTGACCATCTCTGCCAACAAACGCATCCCCTAACCCTGCTTCTTGGTGAGAGCAGTATGCTTAATGTGATTTCCCAAACTTATAAGTTTATTTTTTGGGGTTGTATGAGCAGAGCACCTCCTTCCATGTGCTTGCTGCCCCTTACATGGTGAAAACTTTAAATAGGACTTCTTTTTTCTTTACATAGAGTGAACATCTATCTATTACCAGCTCCTGTTAGTGTATGTGGACAGCTATGTTTGGAATTAGGTTTGAGGTTGTGTGATACTTTCCCCATTGAATGATGGATGAAAATGTGCAATATGAGTTGTTTAAAGTCTAGGATAATGCTTCATAACCTCACACTCTTAGAAACTTCGCCTCAATCCAACACCTGACCTATGCTGTGTTACTTGGTATTTATGACGTAGTTTTCTTAGTTTTTATTGTAACAAATTTGCTTTTTAGGAGGACTCTATTGGAATTCTAGTGATTTGAGTTTAGCAGAATTTATTTTGGACTTTAAGGATTTTTGGCTGAATGCATTTCTTTGAAAATGAAATTGAAGACCACCAGGCATTTGCTTTTTGATTTATAGCTTTCTACTACTTTGTGTTGATCTCTCACTTAGAAAACCAATAAAATGAGATGAATTTTTTCTTAAACTTTAGAAATATAAAAAAAACAAGTTGTTTTGTTTTTCAAATATAACAGGCAAGTTTTTCCCCAAAATCTGTAAGCTTAGAGGCAGAGGGCTACTCTTCTTTACAATAAAAATCCAAAATGGTTTAATGCACTCCACAATGTTGTCGTTTCCATATTCCCCAGGATAAAATATGCTCTTGAACATGAAGGAAAAGCACAAGACGAAAATTATTCCTTGAGCTTTCCATCAAGCCTCTGCATTCATTGCAAAGTCGAAATGGCAAGTCAGTCTCTGCCTCTGAGAGAGATAATTATCCTTTTCCTGTCAGAGAACAACAAATGATAGCCAACTATGGGGGTGCATTTTCAGGAGCCGAAATTCATCAATAGGAAGAAGAAGAAGGAGGTTTAATTTTCTGGCAGCTGCACATCTACCTTTATCCCGTTTTTGCGGCCATTTGTGCCCCCTCCTCTCTCTCTCTTCTTGTGGACTAGCTCAGTGGCTTGCTGTTTGTTTATTTCTGCAAGCTTCTGAGGGTGTATTTATGTGGCCCTGCATTAACATACCTATTTATAGTCCTTCACTTTCTTACAGTCATCTTTTTTTGTTGTTGTGACCATTTCACAGATTATATATTGTCCAAGTAATTTCCCTTTCAGCATCTGTGTTTTTTACCTTTCAGAGAAGGCAGTGAATGGAGGGAAAATTATCACAATTACTCATATAATTGAGCCGTCTTTGTAGCAAGTGCGGCTCCAGTAGCCCCCTTTTTTCCATCAGCCTAAAATGGTTTCATTATATGGGTTTTTCATATTCCCTGACACGGGGCTCCGCTGAGGGCCTGGCGCGTGGATGAGATGCAGGATGAACAGAGCGAATCATTAAGGTCACAGTAGGAATAATTATCCCAGCTATGGAAAGAGCATCTACAGCCCCCTTTTTTTCTCCCGCGGCACAAATGCAATGTCCACGGCTTTTAGTCACAAAGAACTTTGTTACAAATGGAGCTTCCACCTTCTACTTATACAAAGAAGAGAGGGGGAGAGCAAGACTTGTATCAACATGACAATTTTCCATCATTAAGACTAATGACAGGCACAGACTGTGGGGATCAAGGGGAGCACAAAAAAAGAGAGCTGCATTCAGGTGTTGGCTGAGTGCTGACCTCCTTCCTGTCTTTGTTGGAGACTTAACTCTTAACAGAAAGAAAAAACTAAAAAGGGTTTCAGACTAAAGGCGCAGTGGCAGCTGAACGTCAAGCAGCCGCGCTCTCCATGGGCAAATGACTTAATTGCCAAATTTGCATGTTTTCCATTTGCTGGGAAATTAATTCAATAAGGCCTACATGTAAAGATGTTTCATTGTTTTGGTGCAATAATTCCCCCGGCTCACATTATTCCAGCAGTTACGTCACTCTACCAAATGTTAGCCTTGTTTCTCACCTCTCTATAAATTCATTTCCTGATCCGAGGCACAGATCTTCCCTCTAACAGGTGGGATGCTGCGACATGCAGCAAGTATAAGGCATTGTCGTGACACTAGTTTCTTTTACAGTTAAGCTGAATTAAGTAAAAGCCATGTCTTTCCAAGTCTTTTCTCCTCTGCCTTCACTCAGGTAATTGGTCATTTTGCAGCCAATTTTGGGCAGCTTGGGTGCTTGCTGCCATGGCCTGACCCCTGCTGCTAATGGGGACAGCATTTCTACCAGTTCACCGGGGGCTTTTTCCACACCGTGACCCCCATGCCTACTGGGGAGGAAAGCGCCACTGAACGCTGAAATGGAAGAGGAAAAAAAAATATAGAGGGGGATCCTGAAAAGTGACCTTGAAGTTTTACCATGATGTCTGTGGCTCTTTTCTGAGTTCAACAGGAGGGTTATAGGGGGTAATTTGAGTTTGCAAAATAGGGATATGGCTGAGATAGATGATGCAAGAAAACACAGGATTCATAATGTTATTTGCATAAAAATAATCCAGAAATTTATGTGCACAAAAAATGACTCTACTTTATCTGCAGGAACTTGGTGTCATCAGTACCTAAAAAGAAAGAAACATAATTTAATAAGTTGCACATCTAGATTTTTTTTTTTTCTACATAAGAGGCAGATATTACTGGAAAATCCGCCCAATGTGCCTCACCCCCCCCCCCCCCCCCCCCCCCCCCCCCCGGAAAACTTTACACTAATTGACATTTTTACCTGACTTTTACGTTCATTTTTATTAAAATAAAATCCCATTGTATGAATTTCAATCTGACTGTATGACTGGATTATTAAGAGGTGATGTAAGTTGAGGGTTTTACTCAAATGCATATTAAATTATTATAAACAGCCTTGAAATAACAGCTTTTGTACTTATATATTAAATTGTGTCAGAAATAACTTGAGAGTAATTTACTTAATTTTAGCTCTTAAAAAGAAAATAATGACTTACATATTGATTTTTGTGTTAATGTAGTTTTTCTTTATTTTTATTTTTCATTTTATGTTCACTACAATAAGAAAGAAAATTAGATACATAAATAATCTTGAATTGAACCTTTAAAATGTAAGATTTTTTTTTATTATCTACACGTATCCAGGATTCATCATTAAAACATTTTTAAACTAATCAAAATGTTAAATCTGTTATATGAGAGGAAAACAAAAGATTTAGATAAAGATGAATCCAATCATCCATTTGACCTCTGTGATAGGGCATCATCTTTACCAGTGCAACCGTCTCGTTGTTCACATACTATTTATTCCCCCCCCCCCCCCCCCCCCCCGATGTTTACGCATAACTCAGCAAACAAAATCAATCCAAATTTTGACGCAGCATTGAACGTGAAAAATAGACCCAGAATCGAGTTAATTGTGCTGCATCTATCTTGCCATAACTGACGGCCCCAAATTACAGGATGGCGAGAGAAGCAACGGCGGAGACGGTGCAGAACAAAAGCCAATTTTCAATTCTTTGATTGGCTGCATAAAACCGCCCTCCCCCTCCACCCCACCCCAAAAAATAAAAGAATTAAACATAATAAATACATAAATTAATGTAAATGTAATATTTATTGCTACTGTCCGTACTGGACCCAGAAATATATTTATATTTGTATTATTTATGTGAGCTTTTTAAAAAATTATAAGCTGATTAAAACTAATTTTCCTGAAAAGGTAAAAAAATATAATCTAATTAACGGATTTCTTATTTCCTAAAAAAAAAAAATTAAACAAAAAGGTAATGATCATATCTAATCTTCATGTATTGCTCTTCACTTGCAGTGAAAGTAATTAATTGTTGCTTAAGCGCTGTAAAGCTGCGCCTTTTACGCACCAGAGTGCCTCTGTTCTCTATCACCCCGCGGTCCTGGATAACATTTACTGGCTCCGATAAATAGGCATCTGAGGAGGGCCTGCTATCACCGGACTGAAATAAAGTCGGTGACATGTTGGCCCGTTTAGCCCCGCCACCTCTCCCCTCCTCATCCCGCACCCCCTCTCCGCGCCTGTCTCTCCACCTCTGCACTAACCCCTCAGGTGAAGAGCAGCAGGTGTTAAAACACCCTCAGCCACAGAGCTACTCACTCCTAATGAGTCCTGCCTCCGCTCTCCATCCATCCATGCATGGAGGACTTTATTTTTAGTGCGGCTAGTTAAGAGTCCCGCTGCAGGAAGCGCTGCTGTGGCCTGCTCTGCCCTCCTGCCTGCGAGTCAAATTATTAATGACAGTGTGGTAATATTATCACATGTCTGTTCAATCCTAATGGCGCAGAGGAGGCTTGAGAAAACCCATCTGGTATTAGATTATTACTTTGGGTTACTGGAAACATTTTGCGAAAAAAAAAAAAAAATTAAATAAGTGTTTTCTACCTCCAAATTGAATCGCGTAAACATCTCTCATTTAGTAGTGCACTTCTGCTATTATTTTACATGTTTCCTCCAAATTCCGCCTCAATTCTGCTAATGGTTTTGCTCACAGCCCTCTGTAGATACTATAATCGTGGGAAAAATAATGACAGTTATCAGTCGCACCCACCAAGTACCCATAAAAAATCTGTCCTCTGTTCTGGAAGATGATAATTATCGGTTGTACCACCATTATCATTGTCGTTGTTGATGGAGGAAATCTTGAGGCATTTTTCGAAAGTAATTCCAGGAGAAATCACTTCAAATTGGCCTATTTTAAGAGAGAGGGGGGACAAGGGGACCAAGCTTCGTTATAGCCTATATTTCACAGAAATCTTTAAATCCAAGCATCCGAAAGCCGCCTGGCACTTTGTGGCACACACACACGCGCGCACGTGTTCTGATGTCAACGCCTGCATTTTTTTGATAACACATTCTGCAACTTACTCATTCTGTTTGCGGTTCAATTATGCAATTACTCTGATAATCGCAGTGAGGGAATTTAACCGCCTTTAATTTGTTATTCAGGTGGAGATGATGGAGGGACCGCGGATAGAGGAGCGGGGCTGCGCCTCTACTGCGCAGCGACTGCGGCAGAGGAGCTGCGGTCTGCAGATTAATGCAGAGGAAAATAGAGGTCTGCTGGAGACTTTCCTCTGCTTTCATCCTAAGGAGGATCCCTGACCTCGGGTGGCTCACATCTGTCTGCTTCTTCTCCGTCACGTGATCATTTACAACCAAAGTAAGTGTGCGTCCTCAGACTTAAGCTGATTAACACCAGGGGCATTCCTAGACATAAAGCCATATTGAGTAGTCTCAATTTCTTAGAAATGTATTTATTTATATACATTTACCCTAAAGGTATTGATACCTATGAGATATAGGCTCAAATTAATTTCTGAATTTCACCAATAATGTATTAAACATGTTGGGCTGGCCCTAGACCTGGGTAGGATAAAGAATCGGTGGAGAAAGAAATAGATTAGGGTGATGGAAAGGAGGCCTTCCAACTTACTGTGCAAACCGTTATGATATGGTTTTGATTCCTGAAATCTGTAAATAGCATTTTTTACTTGATCAGTTAGAAGAGTGTTGATATTTGTCTCAAAACATCTGTTCCATCACATCTCATCTGATCTCATCTCATCACATCACATATATATATATATATATATATATATATATATATATATATATATATATATATATATATATATATATATATATATATATATACATATATATATATATATATATATATATATATATATATATATATATATATATATATATATATATATATATATATATATATATATATATATATATATATATATATATACTACCTCGGATATAATTCGTTTTCAGCTTAACTCCACGTTACTTTGTTTTATTAAATTATTCATATCTGATATTATGCAATAGGAGGATTAAAATCCTGGAAAGAATTCCCTGCCTTATTTTTTTTGTCTTAATACTTTCCCTCCATGCTGGTATTCCACCTATCCTTTGAACTCGGTCTTAAAACACCTTTTTCCCTTTTAACTCTCGTGACCTTGAGTTGAAATTAAATAAGGGTGATTACTGTGCTCCAGAAGAAAAAAATAAAATGTGTCTGCAACACAGAAGGCGACTGTCAGCACATGAACAAATATTAATGTCAATCTGCAGCTTAATTCAATTTAAACAAACTATAATGGTTACTTAGACTTAAATTGAGATTATTAAAGAAGCAAAAAGATTATATAAAGTATGTAGCAAAAAAGAAAGCAGTTAAAGACGTTGGATTGTGGTTTATATATTATTTCAAATATTGTGATATATTACAAACGTTTAAGGTGTCATAAAGGATCACTAGGCCTATACCTGAGGTTCTAGAGCTTTATCCGTCTGCTGCAGGTGTAACTGACACCTCAGGTTGCTCTCCGTGTTAAATACATGACTAATTACAGACCTACTTATGAAAATTGAACGACAGTGTTATGCTAATATACGCCTTCCTCCTGATGGCACATTAGGAGCTTTAATCAAAAAAATGCTTTAATCAGACTGGCCAGCAGACAAAGCAGCTGTGACTGGGAGGAAAGTGTTGTTTAACTCCATTATAGATGCCACCTTTAATGCTTGTATTGCTATCCTGAAATAAGCGCGCTTTTTGTCAAAAAATAATCCTATCTTTATATGTAAAGTAAAAAGAAAAAAAAAAAGATCTAAGGCTTTGTAGGTTTTTTTTTCTTGACTTTATCAGGTTCTTCGGACCCCAACCCCAGCCTCACCAATGGGCTTCTCTGTCGCAAAGAGTGGACCAATCAGCGACTGCCTTTGATAAATATTCATGAGTTCCAGATTCAAACCTTTGAGCGAGTTTGTCTCGGTCCACAGCATCACTCCCAGGACTTTTTCACAGGCGCAAACTGAATTTTCTTATGAATGGAAGGAGAAAAAATCAGGCCGGCTTAAATTGGGACCCATCCTTTAGCTGAGATCACAAAAGGAGGAAAACAACAAAAGCGGAGCGGAGACAGGAGGGAACCGCCAGAAGAGATGACAATGACCACGATTCCAGAAGGTCTTAATAGCCCTGCCTCAGGAAAAGCCGTTTTCATGGAGTTTGGACCCCCGAGTCAACAAATGTCTCCTTCCTCCATGTCTCACGGACACTATCCCATGCACTGTTTACATTCTACAGGTCACACGCAGCACGACAGCTACAGCCCAGCATCTTCGTTCCCCAGGTCTTTGGGTTATCCGTACGTAAACTCCGTCGGTAGCCATCCAACCAGTCCATACCTGAGTACAGTACAGACCTACCAGAACAGCTCTGGGCTCACACAGACACGGCTGGAGGATCCAGGTAAGCGCGCAGCGGCATCTTTGCTCATTTGTCCTTGCCTTTCCCCGCATGTTGAATTATTGCGCACCGCCAGCGCCTAACAGATCTCTACCCCAGATGTACAATTGGACTCAGCAATTATTTATTGCGTAACGCTATAAACAATGTATGCAATTAGGGGTAATTATACCAAAGTACAGCCTGTAAAACTTGTGCTTCAAGTGTTCGCTGTCGCATAGCGGTGCTGGTCGCAGTTGCTTCATCATCTTTTCTCACATCTCCTTTGTCTCCACCAGCAGCACCAGAAGCTGAGAAGAACACAGTGGTAGAGGGCGGGGAGGTGCGATTTAACGGCAAGGGGAAAAAGATTAGAAAACCAAGGACTATATACTCCAGTTTACAGCTCCAAGCGCTCAACAGGAGATTCCAGCAAACGCAATACTTGGCGTTACCGGAGAGGGCTGAGCTGGCTGCGTCGTTGGGTCTGACTCAGACACAGGCAAGTTTAATCAAATATCTCCCACTGCTACTGCTATTTATAATTGTATTACCGCTATTCATGCATGAGATACGTGCGTAAACTGTGCGTAATCTGTGCGTAAAAGCCAATTTTTTCTCTTTCATATCTTAATTTTTCATTTTTTTTTGTTCCCCCAGGTAAAAATTTGGTTCCAGAATAAACGATCCAAATTTAAGAAACTAATGAAGCAAGGCGGCAACACAATCGACACAAACGTTTTAGCAACCGGCCGTGGACTTTCAACCGGCTCGCCTACGGTTGCTCAGGTTTGGACATCCCCGACCACCGTGAAGACCTCGGTTGGAACAACCGGCTCTTACATCCCAAGCTACACCTCGTGGTACCCGACCACGCACCAAGAGTCTATGCAACAGTCGCAGCTCATGTGAGCAGAGACTCAGGATGTTGAGGGAGCCGCAGCGGCACGAGCGCGGCATCGGCATTGACGATGCTCCACTAGAAAAGCTGCCGCATCCCGCGCGCTGAGGCCTCCTCTTCCCGGCGAGCAGACAGGAGGGAGGGAGAAGCAGGAAAAAATGGAGGGGAAGCTGAGAGGACGAAAATGCGCACAGTGAACCCACGCAGGGCAGCGAGTCACTGGCAGCGGGAATCAAAACGAAAAAAAAGCATACTTGGGCTGCTGTTGTTTACTTTCATTTTTTTTTTACTCAAATCGGTGTAAGGATTTTTATTGTTGTTTTTTTCCTTTATTTTACTGCAGATGATTACCTAAAACCAAGCATTGATTCCTAAATGCCAATAAGGTCTTTACCCAAAATAACAGATTCCAGCAGTCAGGCCGCCATGCTTACAGCATAATTCAACCACAGTAAATATTCACCTCGCTGTGTTGTTTCTATGTGTTTGTTATTTAAGTTAAATTATTCTGACTCGTCTGTGTTCATTCTGTATGCGTGTTTTGAGATGACAACATTGTGTTGTTGTAATGCTGCACTAACGCAGGCAGAGCTTTTATTTTTGCCGTGCCCCCTATGTCATGTGAACAAATGTAAAAGGCCAGCCGATCCGCTGTTTCTGAGAGAAAAAAAAATACCCCGAAAGACGAGCAGCTATAAATTGTCACTGTATTTTGTATATAATTTTTCAGATTTCTTTCTTTTTTTTTTTTGGTTTGTTTGTGATTTTACTTGATACGCTGTGAAACAGGGTTTTTAGGCTTTTTGTGTATATATTATTCGTCGACATGTGTTTTAGTCACCATAGAATATCTTTAGTTTTGTATTGATCACTTTAATTTATTAATCTGTTTATGGATTTTTTTTGTACATAAAAGTGAGAAAAAAGTTTCAAAAGCAGTAAAATATGATTTAAATTATGCTTAAGCACGGTGTCTGATTCAACCCTCTCTTCCTGTCCACATCCTCCTCCTCCTCTCCTCTCTGCGCCGTGCAGCTTTAATGCGAGCTGACACAAAGCAGGATCATGTTGGCTGTTGTAGCAGACACCATGTGAGCTGCAGAAAAAGGCGCCCAGTTTAGATTAAGGCCATGTTTAACAATCGGCCCTACATGCCTTTGTGCAGCTCCTGCTCAGTGAATGCAGATGTGATAAAACCTCTGGAGTGAACCACAGATTAGAAATCATGCTGGAAATTTTATGGAAAATATCAGCCTATTTATGACTATTAAAGAGCTACAAAAATGTATAAATTTAACATCAGTGCTATTGATATATCTATTTTTTTCATTTACATATATTATTTATTGTCAAAACATTAAAAAAAGGCAAAATGTACAAATTGCCTTTCGGTTTATTTGATAAAAACCACAATTTCCCTCATTGTGGGACAATAAATGGATTTTCTATTCTAAAAGAAAAACAAAAACAACAATGAAAAAAAAATCGGATTTCTTTGTGAAAGAAATGCATGCGTTATATAAAAATTTAAAATATGTCCCGATGTCTTCATTATTTTGGCACGTGATTAAACCAATATTCCTTGTCACTATTTCCATTTCACCACAAAAAAAAAATCTAAAGCATAAAAAATTTTTAATTTGTCTCAGAATGTCATTATATAGTCCTACAACTGAGGGAAGAACATTGAAAATAAAAATTACACGATTATGCTGATCTTAAAAGAAATGCATTTAAGTTTATATATATATATATATATATATATATATATATATATATATATATATATATATATATATATATATATATATATATATATATATATATATATATATATATATATATATATAATCTATTTTTTAAGTTAATTGTTTATATATCTAATACAAAAGCCATCCTGTAACAAGTAATAGGCTATAATTACTAACATCATTAATATTATTATAAGCAACAAGGGTACAGATGAGTTGAGAAAAAATATCCTGCCTTGTTCTTGTTTATAATTCCTTACCCTGCTTTTATATTTCAACATTTTCTAGACTAATCCTTTGTGAGGAGCCTACAGCTTTTCTATAGATATGGCTCTAAGAAAGCAGGATCACTGCAGAGTTAAATCTGCCTACCTACTCCCAGAAAAGGCGCAGCTGCAAACCCAAGAGGGTCAGTGTTATTTCGCTGTATTCTCCCCTTGATTATACGAGTTGAGCCCATCAAACCCGGTATAATTACAGTAATTTCGCCCTTATTTATTCTAATGCAGTTTCCTATCTCTGAGGTAATTATGAGCAATTTTTTTTCGCACCGAGGATCTTTCTGCCTTAACAAAAGAGAATGCGCTCTGAAGGAAATGTTCTGCTGCAAAAGAAAAAAAAAAAAAAAAGCGAAATAGGTGAGCTGCCATTTTGTCACCGTTCTCTTAGACTAAGCCCAATATGTAGCTATAAGACTGACAAATTGCTTGCAGGTGTACATCACCGAGTTGTCAATGCCGGAGAGGCTTCAGAAATTAGGCACAATTTGAGAATAACGAGTTTGATTCTCTTTGCGTTTTTAGAGTTTTTAGGAAAAATTTGATTTTATTTTTTGCAGGCGATTAGTAAACCGAAAAAGATTATATATATATATATATATATACCAATATTAGACATCAAAAATAAATACCATCAGCAGTGAAATATGAAATTTTAAGTTTACTTCCAGATTTTTTTCATTTTCTTTAAGTATAAGGTATAAAGGTTAAATATGAAGGATTAAAGATCCAGCTCCCACCTTCCTTTCTGAATGTGAGGCTCCCCTCTGTAGAGCTGCAGGAATCAGCATGGATGCAGATGAGCATAAAAGCCTCCACGCAGCACAGGCTCCACAGCAGCGCTCTAAATTCCCACTAAATGTGTCCCATGTGTCGGTCCAATGCTATAGCTGCAGAGTTCAGAAAATGACTGAAAATCTCTGCTTTATTTTCCCTTTTTATAGGCGACGAGGGGGAAAAATTGTAGATTATTAGCATAAATGTTTACTCCTCATTACGCTGATGACATTGTGCACTCGAGATCTTGGTAATCTTTGGGGGAAATTATGAGTAATTTTTTTAAAATTTAAAGCAGCAGTTACCGTGCAATTCAGGCTAATTCCGCGTAGGCTCCACACGGATATAATTATCGTTGAGTCAAGATGTTAGACTAAAAACTATGCATTGATATTCCCATTTATTATGTACATACAACTTTGACAATGTTGATGCTTGAAATAGCGGGAAATTGTCTTGTGTAAAAAAAAAAAAAACAAAAAAAAAAATTACAGCCCATATTAGGACATCTAAAATTGCGAAGAATTATATAGTAATTGCAGGCTTTCAGATTTGAAAGCCGGAATGCTCCAACCCGAGCAAATGTGGATGAAATTACAGATCAGGGTTTAAATGGGGATAGGGGGGTATGTGGCATTTACAAGTTTCCCAGAGAAACGCCAAACTATAAACCACAACAGCTCCAAATGGTACTGTGAAGCAGCATTTTTACCCTGCAAATATACTGATCATGAAAATCTGTCATCATAGCAAATTTTTTTAACATCATAAATCAGCTGACGACTCACTGAATGAATTAAATCTACAGAATGTTGTCAGCATGTTCCTACATGTGTTTAGACACAGCCTGACTGTATGCATGCCTGGGGGCCTGTCAGATGTAGTCAGCCTCCCAAGAGGTGGATGGCTGGAATGGAGAGGGGTCTCCATCATGTAGATATATCAACTGAACTACAGTCCTAATTAGGTACAAGCACAAGATCAAACTGTATTTCCCCTAGTCTTTAAATGAAATAATGACTTTATTCTTCATATAAAGTGAAAAATAAACATTTGATGGATGATTTTAATGTTTCCTGTGCAGAAAATGATCCAACTACCAGATACAATAAAAAAATGGGTTGAATATATATAAAACTAATAACGCTAGAAATACATGTCTTGTTTGTTATCATATTTTACAAAACTGGTTTGGAATTAAGGCCTAATGATGTTGCTGAAATAATGCAAAATATTTTTTATGCATTTTGGTAATGTCAGCTCAGGGCAAACTAAACTTGCTAGCAAGATGAACCTGGAAATTGTTGAAATTAAACTCTATAGGGTGCTTAAAAATATTTTCCCAGATTAAAAGAAGCTAATATCTGGGTTTCCATGACAATAGCGTCCTCACGGTTAGAAAACTTAGCTTGTTGACAAGGTTATAGCATTAAGATGCATTAAAATTATCTCAACAAAGTAAAGGCAGTTGATTATATTGCAGTTTTAATATCTTTTCTAACACAGGGTCATATTACCATGTCCTTAATAAACGACTGGCATCCTTTACTTCAGGCATAATTCCCTTGCTAGCAAGTTCACCTACAGTATAGTACTAGCACAACAGTTATTTAATTAAAACTGGTATTAAACTTCAATTTCTGATTTTGCTTCTCTAAGTTTTATGAGAGTTCAAAATGTTGATTAAGCATGTATATGCAGATCTAAAATAAACACAGCATATTGGCCTATGAAGGATAATAGTTGTGTGAACTTCTTTGGATCATCTCGCACCAAAATGTTTAAACAGGACTTGTTAGAACCAAACTTTTCAATGTTTCGGTTTTACTATTGTTAATTAGATGTCATCTTTGATCTTGAATTAGCTTCAAATATTTTTAATACTTTTCAAAATTCAATTTTTCAGTGCCACTGTACCATGTGGAATCATGACAGCTCATTCAATAATCTAAAAAGAATAGAAATAATACAATCAATGTCTAAAGTATCCTCTGTGTGTGGTATTTCAGCCCTAAGACTTGTGTCTATGTTCGCCTCGATCTACATGAATAATGTGGGTCAACTTGCTCGTCTTCAGAGATCAGAGACTTGTTGTGAGATGTGAGAACTGTTTGCCTGATGGTCTAGTTAAGCTCCAGGCTGTCTTGGATCTTGTTCCCATCTCCTTTTCTCTTGTAAGGCTGAGTTCATAAAGCGTCTGGGGGGAGAAAACAAGGCTTGCTGACTCCAAACAGTCTGAGGAGCTTGTCTTCTTTTTATTTTTTTTCCTTCCCTCCTCTTTCCCCTCTGGCATGCCAACAGTTTGCCACCTACTCATGCCTCTGCTTTCTACTCTGCAAAACAACTGCTAATGGAAAATTAAAACCAAATACGCAATCCCCATAAAATTTGCCAGCATGAGTGTTTTTTGTTTTTTTTTATAAGGGCTGCAG